CAATGGGGTCGTATCAGAGGAGGAAGTTTTGAAAGAGTCGTATTTTGCAAATTTTCCCCCACGGAAGGGCGCGCCCTGTCTCGAGTAGATCGCGATGAGAACACGAGTTCGATTGCCCACCCCCAAAAACAAGAATGAGAGACTTGGTACGTAATCATTTCGGTAGATGGCATTTGCCAAGCGAATGGACGGATTTCAAAGCCACGGGTATGTGAGGAGGGGACCACGTGGCGTCGCGCTCGGCAAACGCAATATAGCATGGTTAGTATTTCGCCTAATAATAATATCAATAATATTGTTAATATTCGCTTCGCGATGGTTTGTTGTCGCGTTAGTGACATTTCGCTGCTCACGCGACACCGCGTGGCCCTAAAGACCGTCTTCTCAAAACTACACTGTCAAAGGAAGTACCAAAGCAAATGCACCAACACACCAACTGCTGCACGAACGCGCCTCGTCTTATACCGTAACTCCCAATATGTTTCACTGAAAGTGAAGTTGTCAGAAAAGTACCTTCTGAATAATTGCTCTTGATAGAAACGTCGTCTTTTGAACATATCCATATTCTTTTCGTATTCCACGACAAGGTATGAACGATCATTGCCGCCTGTAAGAACATTCTTTCAAGTTGATGACTCATAGTGCATTTGGGAATTTGAGAGCCCTCCATTCACTACTACTGCTCACCTTCAATGGCACTGAAGATGAGACCACCGAGAAGCGAGTATGCGAAGAGAACAATTAGCCAAATCATATGCCTCCAGAGGGTTTTGTTACGTTTATCCTCTTTTGTGATGACAATTTTTGGCTTTGGTGGCTCAGGAGGGACAAATTGTTGCTGCAATTGGCAACAATTAGCACGAACAATCAGACTGATTTGCCTGCACGGGCTGACCTACCTCTTCAGGCTTCTTCTTCCTTCTTCGTTTTTTCTTCTCAGTGGTGGTTACTGTAGTCACGGTGGAAGCCGCATTGCTTTTCGTGACGGACCCGTTTACTGCACCCTTAATTTTGAATTTTTTTCATGAACTTTCATTGTCCTAAAATCTGTAGCTCTGTATGTGATAAGTAGGACAGTCCGTTGGACTCCTGGTTCCCCTAAATGAAGGGAAATGCGAAATCCAACTCCGTTTCCCCTTACTAGCATGTCGTCATGGATTTCATGTGTAACCATGATTCCTGCACACGATAGGGCGTATAAAGGGGCGTGGCTCGGAGATCGGTCAGGACATTAATTGCTTCAGTGAGCTCAGTCAACACTCGCCAATCATTGGTGATTCGGAGCGGCGTCATTGGCGGAAAAGCCGACCTTGGTAACGCTCTAGTACCTGCCCCCGTCACACGCCCTATCGTTTACAGGGCTACTATCAAACTACTGCGAACTCAAAAACCTTCTGTTGAGCCATGGCTTTCGGCTCTTTAGTCGACTACTTGAGAACAAGGAAGTCGTACGTATGATTACCTTTCTATTTATAGTTGGAAAACTTTTTGATACAGCATTTGAAAGATTTTTGCCGACTGCATTCCATCGACTGTCAGCAGATTTGCTCCGTGGATCCACGGTCTTCTTCTTTGGATCGGCCTTCGGCGGCATCGTGATCTCTCAGCTCGGCATTCAGTAGCAGATCTTCAATACTCAGACATAACCGCAGTATCCTTTCTTTTTTTCAGC